CTCAACAGTCTTGACCTCCTCAGCGGCGGGGGTCTCTTCGACAGTCTTGGGCTCCTCGGTGGCCTTGGACTCCTCGACAACAGGTGTCTCCTCAGCAGCCTTAGTCTCCTCCACAGCCTTAACATCCTCGACGACGGGGGTCTGCTCAACCTCAACGGTCTTAGACTCCTCGACAATGGGGGTTTCGGAAACAGCCTCGGTGACAGCAACGTCTTCAGAGACGGGCTTCTCGGCAGCAGCAGGCTCAGGGGACTTCTCCTCGACCTCCTCCACCTTCTTCTCTTCCTCAGCCTCGACAGGCTTCTCGCTTTCGACAGATTCCTCGACCTTAGCCTCGGTCTTCTCCTGGGCAACGGGCGCCTCGGGCTTCTCTTCGGGACCCTCAGTCTTTTCCTCGGCAGCAGGAGCCTCGACCTTCTCCTGCACCTCGGCCTCCTGCTCAACAGGGGACTCAGCGGAGGGAGCCTCGGGTTCATCCTTCTTGGCGAGAGTTTCAGGCTTCTCCTCCTGAGCTTCAATCTTGGTCTCGGGAGCAGAGGTTTTGACCGTCTCCTCAGAAACAGGAGCGTCGACTTCCTTGACAGCAGGTGCCTCGGCCTTCTCTTCGGGAGCAGAGGTCTCAACGTCCTCAACAACAGGAGTTTCGGTCTTCTCCTCAGCGCTGGTCTCCTCGACAGAAGCCTCGATCTTGTCGTCAACGGCCTGGATCTCTTCGTCGATAGCCTTGATCTCTTCGGAAACAGTCTCGATCTCTTCAGAGACAGGGGCAGCAGTCTCCTTCACCTCTTCTGTCGTCTCGGGGAGATGGAAGAAAATGTGAGAAAGGCCACCCTTGCTTTGAACGGGGACCTCAGGGACCTTGGCATCCTCCTTGACCTCAGTCTTGACCTCGGAATCCTCAACATTCTCAACTGGCGTGCTGTCAATTTCCGGGACCTTGGCCTCCTCGACAATCTCAACCTTGGCATCAACTGGCTCGGCGCTTTCAAGGACCTCGGTCTCGAGAACGACTTCGGAGGCGGGCTCGGGGGTGACCTCAGTAACCTCAGATACAACAACCTCGGGAGCAGGCGTGTCTTCCTCCTTCAACTCAGCAACTTCGGCGTATGTCGGAGTGGATTCATCCTGGGCGGCTGTTGTGGTGGTGGTCTCTTCCTCAGGCTGGGAAGGAATTTCCTCTTTGGTGTTGACGGGTTCAGGGACGGCCACAGGAGCCTCCTCGGTTGTCGCCGGTGTCTCTTCAATCGATTCGGGCGCGGCGATTTCCTCGGGCTTGGACTCGTCAACCTTGACCTCGGCAACGGGCTGTTCGACCTCCTTCACTTCCACGGTCTCAGGCTCCGGCGCAGGCTCGCTCGGTTGGTTGACCTCCTCGGGTTGCTGCTCTTGCTGTTGCTGCTCCTCGGTGATAGGCTTGACCTCTGGTGTCTGCTCGGCGGTCTCTGTTTGCGCAGGCTGCTCTGCTAGGATGGAAGCGATAGATGTCGACAGGTCCTTGCTGGTCTTGGACTTGGACTTCTTCTTCTTCTTTTTCTTCTTCTTTTCGGCGTCGTTCGGGGCGCCGCTATCCTCGTGCTCCTCATGGGCAGCCTCGTCCCCTGTTACGGGCTGAGACTCGGCCTGAGATTCGGCCTCGGCCAGCGCCAGGGCCCTAGCAGCAGCCTTCTTCGCCTTCTCCTTTTCCCTCTTCTTGGCGTTCTTCTTGGCGTTCTTAGAGGCGGCAGAAGCTCCGGGAGAGTCTGGAGAGTTGGGAGACATGGGCGAGCTCAAGTCATCATCTATAGCAGCGATCAGTATGACTGAGACGCTACGGATGCAGCTCGGCCATGTAGACAGCACTTACCGTCGTGGTGGTTTACACCATTTTGTGTCACCTCAGATTGTGCCTTGTCGGAAGAAGTCACGACGGAGAGGGCCTGAGGTGTGCTCTTACTATCCGCCATGCAGAGCTGTGTCGTCGGGGGTATCGGAAGGCGGCAGAAAGCTAACGAAGAGCAAAAACAGGTGGGGCCTTGGACGGCAGTGTTTGGCCTCCGTTTAAGATCTCAGCGTAGGAACGGAAAAGGGGGAACTGTCTAATATGTGGTCGTTGACGGTCGTATAAGCCAAGTATGGCCAGCCTGTGCGGTGTCACGTCCTGTAATTGGCCGCGCAAACGGTCCCAGAATCAGAATTAAGCTCGTCAAGTTACAGAGTATGAGATGGAAGAGGTGAGTCTGGGGCACCAGCCTCTGGCTGGATGAACAAATGGCGCGGGGCAATGAGCTAGGGGAAGCTAATTGCGAACAACGACAAGGCGTACGAAGAGTGAGAGAGAGGGAGGGAGGGATGGAGACAGAGAGAGAGAAAAAAAAAAAAAGGGTTTGTATTCACCTCGTAAGTCGTAACGCGTTTTCAGGTCGGCGATGGGGGGTATGACTCTCGGAGCCGTTTGGTTCTACAGGCGAAACTTCTAGGAAAGGGGATCTAGGAGAGTTGATGTTTGGAGTGTAGCAAGTGGAAAAGGGACCCTTGGGCAAGTTTCGAGAAGAAAAAAAGCGACTGGCTTGGCACGACTGGAGTTTCGCAGGAGCGATGGACTCAGAACTGTGGATGTTGTGGACTTTGTGGACTTTGTGGATGGGGATGGGACCACCGGCTCGACATTATGAGTGGTACCTGCCCACACAACCCTCGACACCACCAGGTCACAACCACAGCTTTCCCCCTTCTCGTTCCGCTTTTGTGCCCTGATGCCCTCACTCCCCCGGCCTTTTTTTGGGCTTCTGTCGTTGTGTAGGTCATATGTACCGCCGCGGCCGAATGGACCGACGTCGTCAACAAATTCCCTTTGCGACCCCGGCTGCAACATGGGGTATTTCCAATTGGGAAGGGTTCCCCATCGTCACGGCTCCTCACGGCTCCCCATATTGCTCGCAGCTTGCCGCGCCATTGGATGGCGCCGACGTGAGATTGGGCAGTGACCCACCACATCTCCACCGGCGTTCTCACATTGACCACTCACCGCATCGCATTCGTTGCCCGCCTTGCGGCCTTGGGATCAAAGGAGATCCGCCGCCCTCTGATCTCTTCTTTCTGCAGCAATTGACCCATCCAACACCCAAGCAAGACACCCAAGACACCAACCCCACGGTTCATGAACAACCCAACTCCGGCAAAAGCGACTTCCACTTTGTCACTGCTCTTGCAAACATTGGCCCAAGCGCTTCACAGTGGCGCCACGTCGCAATGGCACGGGGGGAATGAACGACACTGTAAATGAGCGGCAGGGGCTCGAAGGAGGGGAACCCGGATCAACTCCAGGAAAGGACAAGGCTCAGGTACAGGCGCTCAGGCGGTACCAGTAGCCCAGCATCAAGAACTGCTACCATATTGAGGGGGCTGGTTGGTGATGGGCGATGGCGCCGTTTGGGGTTGCAGATTCATGATGGGGTAAATCAACTCTCATCCTCATCAGCTGAGGAAGAGAGCGCCGCCAAAAGCCCGATCTGACGGGCAACAGTCAACGACGGGAGCTATCAAAGAGATGAAGTCATCTCAAAATAGACACCCAGCCTATCCGAGACCCGCATCACCAATAGCAACAGCAGGCACAACGCCTGTCCCGTACATATAAGCTTGAGACGCCGCTGTCTGTATGTTTTGGTGTGTTTTACAAAGGTCCAGAACCAAAGCGTCAATGTCTCGCAAGAGATATCAGATGCCCATCACTTTATCACTCAACCAACTGCGAGGCTGACAATAGCTATTCCATTGGCTACGACACAATTTCCAGGTGCCATTGGGTCTGACAATGGTGAGCCGGCCAATATCATTCATTGAGGTCTTCTCGAAAGGGTTACACGAGCTTGACTTGTTCCTGGATTGGGTATGTGTCGTCAGAAGTACTGTTTTACAGCAAAAAAAAAGTACCTCAGATGATAGTGCTCTATGAGACCAACGGGTGGGTGCGTCATGATGAACTTTGCTAACTTGGCGACTATAGATCACTGTTTGATATACTCACCGCACTACTGACAACGACAACGAGGACAGCCAGAGAATATTGCCGTTTCGACAACCATTCTTTACTGATCGTATATGCTGACTGCAAGATTGCAGACGCATCCCGTCAAGCAAGGTTTCCGTGTACACATTCGGGTTGATCAGGCTACGTGGGCACCCAACAGCTTGTCGTTGCTGGGCGATCGCCGTGATGGGATTGGCGATGAAATGCAGAACGGACGTGACCCTGACGGCGGCAGATGGCCCCCCAACACACCACTCCCACACCACCATCAATATCACACTTTCAAATGCGAAAAATCGGGTGAATACCCGGCCACGAAGACAGGTAGGACAAAAGCGGGTAGAAATCTCTGACTCTGCTTTTCGCTGCATAGAAGCCCAGATGTCCGGCCCAATTGCGCATTCTGCCCAATTTCGCATCAACTGCTCCTTCAGAAGAGCCATTATGGAAATTGGGTAGGAATAAAAAATCCTGCCGTAGCATTGCATCACAGTCGAGGAAGCAATGTCGACGGTTGCCGAAGCCGGGCGGTTGGCTTGTGAGGTCCGTGAGGGTACGCTCTCGAAAGTAGCCGGGTACAACTAGCGAGGCTGGGCAAACAGCCAAGAACCACCCAAAGAGTCCCCGCATCCGAGGTCCCGAGCTAACAAGGCCCCGGTCCATCACGCCAACGCAAGAAGTGTGAAGTTGGGAATTTGTTCGCTCGTTCGGTCGGGGTTCGCTCGGTACCTGCCCTGAAGCCCGGGAGTCAGGCACAAGGGGCCGGCCCCATCGTCGTCCAGAGAGAGCGAATTCGAGCGTCGTTGTACCTGACCGAAAACGACGAGAAGACAGAGGCCCTCTCCCAAACCCCGTCGGTCATCCGCGGCCCCGTTTTCCACACTTCCCCTTTTTCTTTTCCCACGTGCGACTCCGTCCACGTTCGAATGACTTACAGAAACAAGTACATGAGTACGGACTCTTTAAACTCGGAAGAAGAGCCAGACTGGCCTTTACAGAAAACCGCAAAGACCGAGAAATGGGAATGGGGGTTTTCGCGTTTGTTGCAAGGCTAGGGGGCGATGCCAAGTTTCCTCGGCGCGTACACTAAATCAGGTACCGATTCAACAGCTTCGGTGAGATTCTTGTGCTAGCGATCAATTGGGTACCTGAATTCACGACCCGGCCAACCAGCCGCTTCTTCCGCTACGAAGGAGAACATGCAAAGAAGCGGACTATAGGCTTCACTGACTCCGAAACAAGTGAGTCTATCCAGGGAAGTCTTCCCAGTTATATGTTTTTTTTTTTGTTTTTTTTTGTATTACAACATCTTCACGTCTCAAAGTGATCGGCCTCATGAATGATCAATCCCGGCTTCACGGACTGCAGACCTCGGTCGGTGATCGGGTGGTCAGCGGTCAAGTCAGTGGAGAAGCTCCCGGCGCTCACTTGCCGCCCGGCGTCACTCTTCTTAATAACCACCCGAGCCAACCCCTGCCGCCGCGGCCGGGCCCTCAACACGCCGAATCCACTTCCAGCTTCCAATCGGTTGATGCTCGACAGGGGAAAGCTGTTGCGACTTGTGAAGGCTGGGAAAACCAATGAGCCAATGCACCCCAGGTTTTGAGGCTCACTCCCACAGAACCACTGCACTCAACTCACAGGAACACACGACACACAAGGGGCCGGGGGAAGATTGGCAAATGCGTGCCACCAATCCACAAGTCCGGGGTGCTTTTAGGTGAACCTAGCTGTCCTCTATACCGAAAGCGATCAAAGAGAAGGTCAGGTGAAGAAGTTGCCCAAAAAGGGCGGTGTGACCAACCTCCGTTTCGTGAACCACGGCCACCAGCGAGAACCCGCCATCGAGAAACAGTATGTAACTAGCTGATCCTTGTGCTTGTTGCACACGAACAGTGAGCAGCGGGTGTTCGATTGGACTATTGTATACCTTGAGTATCTCGGGGGTCTAGATCTTCAACAAAAGATCGGTATCCAAGTCAAAGTCAACAAATGACTTTCCAAATGCGAATTACTAACAGCCACGTTCCGCATACTTACGTATTGTCTGTCAGTGGATTGATCACGAGACAGTCAAGGACCGAGTTGTATAACGTCGGAATAACTTTGGTACCGCTTTTGGTCCAGGCCGCATAAGTATGTTACCTAGAGAGCTCGAGATGGATAATGATGGATAGATTGATATCTTAAAATTCATTCACAGTGCCTGCCACATGAACCAGTCCAACCACCCAATCCAGGTCCCCTCTCTTATGAACGTCACTCATATGCCAAACCGTATCATCCCTCCCGAAACGCCAGCGCCGCTCGTCTTACGAGTCGAAACTCTAAAGAGACAGAGTAGTGAATCAGAAAGAACAGAAAAAAAAAGAGAAATAAGAGGTAAACAAACACGGAGCGACCGTAACCAGCTCCTACTCCCCAGTAATAAAAACCAATGACACAACAACGGAAAGCGGTAACGATATGATGCTACGCGCATATATCGCATCCTCTGTATATCCCTCTTTCCATGGCTCCTCTTCCCCATACCCCCAGGCTTGCTTGCCAGGCTTACATGGCCATCTCGGCCTGCAACTTTCTGAGCTCCTCTTCCTCGTCGTCCTCGACAACTGCCTTCTCTTTCCCCTTGACTATAAATGGTGTTAGCATAGCACCGGTATAGGGAGCAGATGTATATAACTCACGTGCGCCGGATCCAGCTGCGGGGAGAGAGATCTTGTCGTGGACAGGGATCGATCCGCCCGTCTCGTGCAGCTTTGAATCTACCTCCTCTTGCTGGAGCGCATTGAGCTCGTCCTCCAGCTCGTCTTCGTCGATCGGCTGCCCAATGTTGGCGCTGGTAATGGCTGTGGCAATCTCGTTGCTGAGGTCGTTCGCTTCTTGGAGTTTCGCCCTATAGCGCTGGTTAGTATCGAGATAATCTTTGGCAGCGGGACCGTAGGCGGATGATTCAAAGCTAACATTTCCTCGTCGACCTTCTCGGGGGTGAGTTTGCCGTGGATCTTGCCCATAGCCTCGCGCGCTGCCTGCATGGCGGCCAGGGTCTCCCGGTTGATGTTGGCAGACTCGATCGCATTTATTTGCTGCTCAAGAGTGGTGATCTGACCCAGCGTGGTCTCGAGAGTGCTTTCGGCGACCTTTTTGCGTCGCAAGGCCTGCTTCGCAGCTGTTGGAGTCAATCACACGTTAGCTCTCTTATCAGCTAAAAAGTGATCGGGAAGAAAGTCATGCGCGGCATCATACCAGTCTTGTTCGTGCTGACGTTCTTTCGTGCTATGGCATCCTGTTCGTCGATCTGGTTCTGTAGATGGCGCTCACGCTTCTGGAGCATGTCTAATTGCGTCCGCAGGCCGAGAATGGCATTCTTGGGGCTATCTTTGCGCTTCTGCGCGGCCGAGCCCCCGCCAAACCAGCCCCAGATTCCGGACATGTTGTCTCTTGCTAGAGATGCGATAATAGGGACGCGAGCGGTGTTTGTACAATAGGTGGACTAGGTCACAATGCTCGGGACGTGGGATGTCGAGTGGAAGGAATCACGGCCGGGAACGGCGTCGGGCGTTTCGTAGGCGATGACGACTCTCCAAATGTTGGCGGGGCGCAACCAGGTTGATATTCCCCCAACCAGAAATCACTTGGCCGCCTGGCGGATTGTCTTGACTCGGAGTCGCGGTTTACGGATCGGTATCAGGTTGAAGATGCAGGAAACAAATGAAAGAGAGGTTTAAGTCGCAGCCTAACTCTGCGATGACGAACGCACTCGAATGTTCGGTTGTGGTTGATGTGATTGCCTATCGGGCGCGCGTATGATGCAACAGGAAATCGGACCAGCAAGGTCACCTGGAATCGCTGTGGTTAATGACCATCGCACCTGGCACGGCTGGCACTTCAGGGCCAAGGCGCCTTGGAGCGTTGCCTCCGGCAGGAACCATCCTTGCACGTGTCCGAGGACCAGCCCGCGCCCTGGGCGATAAGGGAACATAAGAGCACGTGACAGACGTCTAGGTACTCCTTAGTCAGCTCCGCTGTTCTTGTTAGGCAGTCGACCACTCCTCTGCTGGAGCTCGGATCTCACCTGTGTCATTGATGGTGATGCACTCTGGAGCTTTCCCCCACAACAACACCACAGAAGACAAACAGCTAGCTTTACGACTGGTACACAACACCCAGGAATCCGACGAAGAATATTTACGGGTATTATCAATTACTTTCCATCCTCGGTCATTCTAGCGGTTGGCCTTCCCTCGACGACCATGTCCAATGGTCCCCTTCCATCTCAGCTATGTCTGTTGCCAGATTTAGCGTTGAGGAAGGAAGGTGACAAAGTTCGGTTTTTGGGTTGGTGAGCATACACTCCTCCCATTTCAAAGGATTTAGTGCCTTGTCTTGAGCTTCTCAATCTTCTTGGACATTATTGCGCAAAAACCATCATAACCTGCCCCTCCCCTTGGCCAGATACCCAAGTCTCGTCCATGCTATTTCGGCCATGATGTTGATGAACACACTAACTAATCACAGGATACCAGTGTAACTTACTACTCTTCAGTGTCTGGCATCTTGACGCTACAGTATCGGCATCCGGCCCAGGGTTCTTGTCATGTTGTCGCCTTGGTGGACGTAACCTTGGTTTTGCGGACCCTCAAATCGGATCAAGTACGTATCGGAGAGTGGGTGAACGTGATAGGGTATGTCACTGCCGTGAGTTCCTTACCCGCCAGGAAAGGCTCGAGAGGAAACGAAGCACTTCAGGTGCGGGCTCAGACGCAGGTTCACATCCGCGCTCTTCTCATTTGGTCATCTGGACCACTTGACACACAACGATACAACGAATCGTTAGATGCTTTGAAAAGTCGTTGTAGCATTACAGCTTCAAGCTCGACCAGCAAGGATGTACGATGAGGGTGATAGGGGAGCATGTCTCTTTCCCTGGACCTTCCTGGAGACGAAGCATACGCTCCATGCCCTGAGGCACAGCGACGAAAGAGGTGCGGTATATCACAGCTTGTCTGTCAAAGCCACTGAGGTTCTCGCCTTGTTTATCATCTTCCGGATAGCATCCGTGCCCGATGCCAGGAGCAACCAAGCGGATCTGTTCTAGCTTCCTTCCAAGTCTCACGACATTGTCCCAGAACGCCTCTTTTAAGGCCCATTGCCGTGGCGCCTATCAGTCAGATTTCCGATCCAGCCACCGGGCCTTTGCTTTAGTACCGAAGGCTTTCCCATTATTGCTTTCTCTACGGACTTGCTCACGGCGTTACCCGAGTTTCAAGCCGAACTACGCCAAGCTCGTCTTGAGATCAATGGAGGTCTTCATTGGATTGACGATGCGCCGCTTCAGAGAAAATCGGCCACTCCCATGCTACAATTGGGTACACTGCAGATTCCTTTCGGTCATAGATGCGGCGAAGACACACCATACCTGATGGAACCCAGACGTCTCTGTACCTTGCTTCTCGAACTCTGTCATGCACACAACGCACGATGTCAAAATCAGCAAATAGCCAGTCGGATTATGCTCGTAGACGGCTGAGATTCCGAAGAGTATCATTCTGAACATGGAAGCCAACACATGGATGTACTTATCCGTTGAGCATAGAGGAGGCCATGTTCATTGGGTCACAGTCACGCCAAATGGCACATTGTTGCCGGTCTATCGTCTGAGAACAATATCATCATCCACCTTATATGCGATATAAGGCATGTGTTTGTTACGCCGCTAACATCGAACATGGCTCCTCATTTGTTGTCATTTTGCCTTTCCCAACTTTGGTCTAAACTCCAACTTTTGAATGGTGCGCTTCACTCATGGAACCCTCCTGCAGTATTTCAGTCAATCCACTTGGTCATACACTTGGTCACATCACGTCCAGCAGCCTGGTGCCCGCCCTGTTTTTGGACCATTCTGATACCCGCACTTGTCGAACTGCCGGCTTTAATCACGACGTCTCTCGTTGGACCAGCTTCGGTCATCACGTCGACTCCTCTGTTCACCCCACCTTCGGTCGTCCCTTCGGTCGCCTCTCCTATCATCTCTCCTATCATCTCTCCTATCATCTCTCCTATCATCTCTCCTATCGTCTCTCCTATCATCTCTCCTATCATCTCTCCTGTCATCTCGCCTGTCATCTCGCCGGTCATCCCGCCGGTCCTCTCTTCTTCGCTTGGAGGGTTCCGTTCCGCCTGAGCTTGCCTGGGCTATCACGACGGGCTGATGTAATGGTCTCTTGAGAGGTTTATCCGGGGTTGCTGTTGCTCGAGCTGCTGCTTGCTTTTCCCACATCTCTTTCGACTTGACGCAGATATCATCGATTTGCTCCTAAGCTCCGTTCAGTATTTGTTATGGCATGGACTGGGACAAAGATCATCGGCAACCCACATCGCTCAGGCAGGGCCCTGGTGTTGTGATCAGAAATCCATCTTCTCCCTGGAGTCACCTCCGTCAGCCATTGCATGCCAGGCTTAAAGATAGGCTGGTTCACACCTCTCGAGTAAAAGGTCTGACTGTTGCTTGAGGTCCCAGATAGTACTGGAGCTCTTGAGTGATGACCTTTTTGTGGATATCCAAATGTGGGATCCAGTACTTGTTCATCGATGACATGTTGGCTTCTGGTGTGAATCAAGGGGACAACAATTTCGCGGTTGCTGATGTTTGAGTTACAGAGCCGGACAGCGGTTTCGTTATATACCTCTCGCAGGGGAGCGCCAAAGCCCTTAATCGGCTGATGGTAGCCTATTTGGCATGTTCGCTGTCCAAGAGGGGCGTCCGGATCATGTCACCAAGTATCTTGTTCATCGTTGGGCCTACACCGCTTGGTTTCCCTTGACCACTACAAAGGCACATAGTTCTGCATGCCCATGGTATGCTGCGTTGTGGTGCTCAAGCTTTGGTCAGTTTGGATGCTTGCTTTCTTACTGGTTCATTTGTTCAGAGGCCTCGTTCGCCTCACTTGCGAGCCCCCTCTACCCTGTGCTTGAGCCACCAGAAACCTCTCATTAACCTCACTTTTCAAACGTTTAAATTACTACCCTAAACCACGTTGTTGTCTCACTGAGGATGAGCTGATGTCACACCTTCCAGTCAGGTTTCAGTTTTGCTGAGATTCTTTACTCTGAAGAAGCATACCATTGGTTACAACCTCCCGTACCTTCATTTGCGCAACGTCGAGTGGCATCCTAGGTCTGCAGCCCTATAGGCTGTCCAACGAACCGTGGTTCTAGGACGAACAGCAGGCATCTTCTCCAGCTTAGCTTTCTACCCCTTGTATGCTTACCAGCTGAAAGCATGTCTTCCTCGTGATATTGCACGAGGTACACGTTACGATTCTTCGGATTCCACTGGTGTGGCAACCTGAGCCGAAAAAAAGACGACGGGCTGATGCACAGCGACGTTTGTTGGCTGCTGTTTCGACCCCAAGCTTCTTCGCAGCGGTGACTAGCGCGAACTTATCTTGCACATGCAGGCAATAGATGATCATCGCTTTTGCCAGGTGATGGTTGCCCCAAACACCGCTCTCGTGCCCAACTTTAATCGTACGACTCGCACTCGAGACATCCTAAGATCGTCACCAAAATCTTTCGAAAAGGGGTTTTGAAAGGCAGAGTCGCGAAGGACAAGCCCGGAGCCCAACTTCCTCGACATGTTCTCTTTTGCGATGTTCTCGGCGCGATCGTCCCTGGCTTTTGCCCTTTTCTTAACCCCGGACATGTGAGTACGGGGCTTGCTGTCGATCTCCCGGTTTGATGGATCAGAGCAACACCGGTTTTAAGCCTCACGTTTCGAACCGGTAGAAATCCATCCCTGCTTTTGGAACCGTTTCTGCTACCATCCATCGATAAAGCTCCTCGGTTCTTGAGGCTTCATTTACCCAAAAAGGGAATTGTTCATCTGGTTTGGAGAGCCAGGGACTCCGACACAAACACCGCATAACTGGGTAGTGAACCACTGTCACGGCTTGGCTATGTTCTACATGATTCCAATATCGGCCTCCTTGATCCATCCATGGCTGGAGGTCTTCGAGGTCTTCCCGAGCTTCTACTGAGGCATCTGTCACCACTCATAGATAGCCCGCGGTGCCCACCTCAAATAGTACACGTTTCATAGAGACAGAGAGACCTCGCAACTTCGAGGCAACTCATGAGAAGCTTGTCGATCGGATCCCATACACAGTCCCTTGACTCGTTACCAAGGTTGTGCTCGGAGCTGCCAGTGTCACTGCTCAAGCCTGCACTCTAACTACAATGCCTGCTCTCAACCATAGGTGAATACCGACAGCGTTAGTGACAGAGGATTTAGAGATGCTCGCTGGTTTTCTGGTAATAGGTAGATTCGCTAGATACAGAAGCAGCGCTGAATATGAAAACCTGTCCTCACCCTGGTTTACTGGCTAGAGCACGGAAAGATTATTTCCAGTTCCTCATTCACTGCATAATTTCGCAACATTTGTACCTCAATTTCTTACAACCCTCCAAAATTGTCGCGTGATACATCTTGTCTATGGAACAAATAGTCAAAGGCAAGGGTAACCTAAGGAGACCGGCACTCGTTAGCAGGGCTGAAGTGATCGGCGTCGATGATAGGGAGACGGGGCAACAATGCAACCCCTCATGGTTAGTGGAAGGATGGAAGGATGACAGTCTCACAGTCATGGGCACACAGGGAGGCAAGGCAAGTGAAACATACATGATGACCATAACAATAGGTAGGTAGACCTTGGGACATAAATCTGGCAATGAATTGTAAGCCGCTTAAACCTCCTTTATGACCCCCAGACGTCGCTCAAGAAGGCGAATGGGAATGTTGTGCTTCGGAGGGGGAAGTTCATTCTCGATGAACCAATTGAGGATTAATCTTGCCCATAACACAGACATAGATGCAAGGTTCTCATGAGTTGCCAATACATATACTTTGCGAATCTTCACCGTTAACGTTGTCCAATATCGGTTCGGATCAATGAGTACCGAGCCAGCCAGGCCGGGACGCCGGACGGCCCCGGACCGGCCCCACCTTCTTCTTTCAGAGCTAGGATGAGATGTTACTGGCTGGCTGGGCGGAATGTGTGGTTGGGTCGGATGTTGTTCCTATATTCTCATCAGCATTGAACACTATGGCAGAGTGCAGTGCTTGGGGGCGTCAAAAGAAGTTTTCTCGATAATGTGGTTGAGATTCTCTCCGGTTGTTTTCAGGTGTTCGAACTGTAGCAATGGAATGCAACACAAAAAGCCAAAAAGCAAGAAAAAAAATGAACTGACTTGTTCAACGAACAAATGCGCCAGCCGCGAATCGAACGCGGGGCCCATCGATGGCAACGATGGATTTTACCACTAAACCACTGGCGCTTTTTGTGATTGATAGTTGTTAAGTTGTGGAATATGTATTCTTGAACCTGAGCTTGATCGTACCAGTGGAAAGACATCAGATGTGGAAAGTGTAAACACCCTGTCAAAATAATTCACACCTGCGGTCGTGCATAATCCACGAAATTCCGCCTCTTTCTCTTTTTCGTTTTGATTGATGTGAGCATCAAACTTGCCCTGTGTGAGCAGGTCATGTCAAATGGGGAAGGGGGGAGGCTTTGGCTCTTTCCAATACCAAGCGACGTTAGACAGGACCTTCCCCCGGGGATGAAGCATGCTGCCACTGTGGAGGACAAGCGATGATAATCAAATGCGTCACAGAATATTTATGGGAGCCCCAGGCATTGAACATAAGGTATCTTCACGGTCATGGACCCTCAAACTATCAATAATAGAATATCCCAATTTGAAGCACGTGAATTATATCAATCATGGCGCAACACACAATCGAATGTCATCTTCAGCTGGTGTGGTTGGAGCTAGAGAACCGTTATCAGCACTATCAAGGCTCCGCTAGCAGTTTCAGCCTAGCGGCTTGGCTGGCCAAGATGAGGGGGAAGGTGTCGAGCAAGGGTTGTCATGAGTGTTTTTCCTCGAGGACGATGGAGCACGAGGAGCACACGACAAAAAGTCACAACCACCAAAAACCCTGAAAAGCTGTCATTCCAGGCAGGGTCAGCCTTGGAGATCGTTGGAACACCGGCTCCCCTCTGCTCCCCTCGCTAGCGACTGCAGATCTCGAGAAATTGGAGACCCAAGGGTATCCCGCTTTCTTGGTTTAGCCCTCCTTCACCCAGCAGTTAGCAGCACGTCCCACTCGCTGCCACCCACCACACCACGGCCACCACCTCCAAACATCCAATATCCAAGTTTGGTCGAGAGACAGACATCAGGATTCAACTCCCATTCGATCCCACTTGCTTCACGGGAGAAGCTGCTATTGTGTAGCATCCAACAGTTATACCGCATCATCGAACATTTCATTGAATCACATCCGGCCAAATTCCCGTCCCGAACGACCGAAGCTTCGAACCGACCGACCGACACGGCCACGGACCAACCGATCGACTCGATTGACCGGCACACCAACCATACCTCGTCTTCATACCTGCTACCTACGCGAAACAGGCTCTGTGAAAGACGAAAACACCATCGCGACCTGTTGCAAGACAAACTCCGGCTGGTAGTCTGCAGAAGGTCTTTTTAGAAGTCGACTCTATTAAACACCGTCAACCAACCAACCCCGCGACGTCAAGGCCTTGGCCACACAGTGCTCCGTGTCTTGCCTGCTTGTCACTCCTTGCTCGTTGTGTCACTTTCGGGTACACAAACTGGCCTTGGTTGCATCATCGACCACATCCAAGGAAGCCTCCCCGTCACCGCGATTGTTCACCGACCTCTTCGACGTTCTCAACCCCGACGCGCCCTCTTATCTTCAACTCAACACTTGATAGTCGGTTTCGGCAGCGGGCGGACAACCATCGCCCGCCGCAACCATGTGGCTCATTAGCGCCTCGACGAGCGCAATCTTTTTGCTGAGCATCGTTCTTCTAATACCCATCGCCTTCGACGTTGGCGGTCGCGATGCCGGCCTCGCCTACTCGCTATCCCTCTTCATCTTCTACCTTATCTACAGCACCAGCAAGCTCCTGACACCCGAGAGGTCACGAGTCCGCTGGTTCTTCACTAGCAGTGTCGGCTTGTCACAATGGATCGTCATTCCAGCCCTTCTCATCTGGTCTCTGAATAGGTTCTCAGTGGATGCTGAGAACGCCGGCTGGGTATCGCGCACCTTCTCTGCTGTCACTGCGGATCACAAGCCCAGCACTTGGGGCGAATACTTCTTTGGCCAGCATGGATTTGTCGAGAATGTCGCTTTGGGAGCTTGGGACAAGACACTGAGCTACTCGAGCCCTGTTTTCCAACTGCTGGAGGGTTTCTGCACCCTACTAGTCATCCAGACTGCTGGGCGGGTTGCGAGGTGGCTCGTTACCCGCGGTGGAGGCGACACATGGATGGTAAGTGGCTGGCTTTGATTCTGTTTTCTCACAAACCATGTTGCTGACCTCTTTCCAGATTTTCCTTCTTGCCTTTTCTGGCTCCATCATCTCCAGTGCCGTTTACTTCCTCTGGAGAGTTGCGCGTTTCCCCGAAATCAACACCATCGACGCCACCCTCATTGGCGCTACAATGACCTCGGCCGTATTTCTGGGAGCCTATGGAATTGGTAGCGGGCGCGGCAACGCCGTGGAGTCATCTCTCCTCTTCGCCTACATTGTTCTCTGCGTCTATCAGATCTTCACCGACTATCAGCCGTCTGCCGAAGCTATTGCTGCCGCCGAGCAAGCGGCCTCGCTTCAGCCCGATTTCCCGCCTCTGCCCCCAATCATCATGGCATCATATTCAACGTTGATGCACGTCCTCAGCAGTCTGCCCGAGGTTTTCAATACTTCTTTCCAGTTCCTCTACGCCGCATTCCAAACTATTACACCGAGCGTCATCATCTCGCTAACCTACCGGATCATCGTCTTCTACTGCGCCACTCGCATCATTCCGGCTGTTCGGGAGCTTGGCGCCAGAGCTCTCATGGACGAACCAAGCTTGCTGGAAGAGACCGACGGGGCTAACCGCCTTGTAGGCTTCCTCAGCTGGTTCTCTCCTTCGATCCTCATTGCCGTATATACGAGCTTATTGCTACAACATTTCAGCGTATCCAACAATGGCGACGATATCGGGTGGACTCTGCGGGCCGGTGACGCCGGTGGAAACCCGTGGCGTTGGGTCAATGTCGCTGCTACCATGGGACTCTACGCTGTCGAGCTTTATCTCGGAGAGAGGAATGAAGGCATGCACTGGAGGGCGGACTGAACAATTCTAAGAGTGTGCTTTAGTACTAGCTACTACAGGCGCAATTCAACAGCAGTTTGTGTCGATCATCGACATAAGGACTAGTCGGTGGCCAAAGAAGGTCACCTGAGAACAATCACCCAAGTCAACATCGTCTGTTGAGAGGCTCGTGCACCTCAAACCAACAACAATCTAAGGACGAACGTAGGGTGTGGGGAAGTGGCATGAGGAAGAAAGAAGATATGATACCCATGGGTTAAGGAAGAAGAAGGAGAGAGAGGGAGAACAGAAAGTGGATTGCGTCCGTTGGCGGCGCGGAAAGAATAGGAGGCAGAAAGACAGACAGAAAGACAGACAAGCAGACAGCAGCAGCACATACAAGGGTAAGAGAAACTTGACCAGGTATAGGCACGACAGCCGCCGGTCATGTCATCTATGGAGAGGGTGTAGCAAAAACAGCTATTTGTTTAGCTAGCAGCAGCAAACCCAGTAGCAAGTTTTTTTATATGAATATTTCTTCACGTTCAAAGCCTGCTTACTTAAGCTCCTATATTGTCCCTGCGGATGCTACACGCCATACAACATCCGTATACGCGCGACCGGCAACTTGAGAGGTGCGGGAATGGGAACCCTCACGAGCTCCAGAGGAAGAGGAGCAAGAATTAAAACCGAGTTTTATCGTTTCAGATGTGAAGAGAGAGAGTGTGTGTGTGTGTGACAAAGAAAAAAGGGATAAACAAGACAAAAGGAAAAGGACAGGACAGAAAAAGAGAGGACAGTCAGTATCTGCATTAGAATGAGGTATCGGCTATGGCGGTACCCACAAGAAGGTTTTTCAGTCGTCTGTACTATTCATTCAAGCAAAACTTCTTCTCTAGACTAAGAGCTTCTGTCGTGTATTAGCAGTGGAATATTTTACTTGCTTGGGTGCTGTTTTTGCAGGATTCAGTTCGTAGACTTCAACCGAGAAATGGGGATGGAAAACAAAATAAGCTCAAAAGCTTCGAGCTGCACATATGAGTAGGTGCCTATCTTTGAAGTGGTTCCGTGAAGCATGTCATCCGATAGATATCACAATCAACTCACTGACTTGACCATAAGCTTGTTACCATATGTAACTTTAAACATTGTTAGAATTGTTACAACTACCATGCTACATTATACTCTCTACCTTTTAAAGTAGAGTCCTTCTTCACCCAAGAGGATTCGACCTTGCCCTAATCTCCCTAATCACCTCCCTCGTCCGCGGATTATCCTCAAAGCTAAGATTGACCAAATCCACCACCTCGTCCGCAGAGAAGTACAAGCTCAGCTCGCTCTCCAGCCACAGATACCTTACGTCCTTGAGGTTGCTCTGCAGAACTTCCGACAGGTACTTGAGACGCAACCACGAGCCCGCGTACTGCGCCGTTGTGGGGACTTCAGTTTCTGGAGAAGCAGCAGCAGTAGCATTGGAGTCTGTGGCAAAGCGGCTCGGGAGGAATAAATCGTCTAAGCTCGTGACGGTACCAATGTGGTTGGCAATGTTGTAAGCCTCGTCCTGGCCGATACCTGGCAGATCCATGACGTCGCCAATGATCTTGTTGGCCACGGCGTCGACGAGCGAGCCGACGGCTTGTTGCCAGGCTGAGCGTGAGAGTATGGATTCCCAGGCGATGGCGAGGGAGCGCACGCGGGCAACGGCGGCGGAGACGCATGATTCGGTGTCGTCTTGTTGGATGAGGTTTTGTTCGCCTGGTGATTTTGAAGGTTGTGTTAGTGATAGGTAAACAGTGAGGTTTTGAGTAGAGGAGACGTTATGGTTAGGAGTGGATGAAACCTACCCCCTAGTAGATCCCTGAGCACGGTCTTTTGGATGCTCATCTCGTTGCTATAAGCGCGGTTTGCGAAGCTTTGCATGGACTTGATATCGTTATCCAGTCTCAGCATGGTTTGCGCCCGTGTGCTGATATTGTCCCTCTTCACCCACTCCTCGGCGAACTCGGCTAGCCGCTCCGACAGGTAGGTGGCATCGTTGTAGAGAAACCTCCGACATAATTAGCATCTCAACGTCGCGTGCCGAAAAGGGTTCTGCACTCACATGTTTCCGCCAACATCTGGAGCGTAGTAGTGGGGGGCAACAGCACGGAACATAGCTAGCGCAAGAGTGGGAAGACTGAAGAGTCCGGCGGCAGCAGCAGCAACAGGGCTGTTGGCATAGTCGCCCTGTGTTAATGCTGCTCCGTCTTCAGCGAGAGATGCTATCAAATCCAGAACAGGCTGTGGCAGGGATGAGATGCTGTAGGTCTCCTTGAAAGTCAACTCCCGTGTCTGTGGTTTTGACGAAGACGATGGAGCGGCCGGTGCTGGCTCAGGTACAGTATCGCCGTTCTGAGCTTCATCGCCCCAACCCCAGGCCTCGGTAGGATCATCATCATCCTCCTGCTTTTGCTTCTTCTGCTGAGGTTCCTCCGACCTCTCTGGTTCAGAGTCTTCCTCACCCCAGCCCCAGGCATCAGCCGCATCATCAATAGCGTCAGCGGATGGTTCAGTGACCGATATTTTCGCAACCGGCTTACTGGTCTGTTGCCCGCCAGTTTCTTGCTCGCCATCGGATCCCCACGCATCCCAGCCACCATCGTCTTCGGTAACCGTGGCTCCATTGGCGGCCAACTGCTGGCCCTCCGACTTTGAAACCACCTGTTTTTCACCCTTTCGACCTGCTTTGATGTGCCCAGTCCCTGAGATAATTGCCTCCTTATTTGGCCCAACGCAGCTTCTCTTCGTTTCGACAGCCATACTCTAGGTGCACTTTCGGTCCACTCTTGTAGTTCGTTGATATGTGACAGCCCCAGCGCTTTAAGAGTGGTGCAGAAGCCCTTTGTCGTCGTTATTGTCGCTTGAAATCTATCCATTTCCTCCAGCGAGGATGGAACAGCCAGGTCGAGCCAGGTTTTGGTGATGGTTGGGATAAGGCCTGGTAGTAAGACAGTTGAGATGGTCTCAACCAGGTCTGGCGGCAGCTTTTCGACCAGGAAGGCAAATACCTGTTCTAAATCTCGGAACACAGCCTCAATGGACTTATCGGATGTTCCTCCTAACTCCAAGGTGTTTTCATTAATCATGATACTGGGCAAACGTTCTTGCTTGATGTCGAGCCTGGGGGTAAGAATGGCCTTGTCGACATCGTGCCATAGCTGGGCTGCGCGCTGATCAACTTCATGGTATGCCTTGAGGCCAATGACGGCATCAGATAAGCTCATGGGTTCGTCTACGATGGGTCAGATCTTGCATGCCAACAGTCTGCAGAGATTTCGGCTTACCCTGCTTCGTGGCGCTGATTGACACCTTGTGACCTTCGATACCAACGTGTATTAGAGCATTCCACACATGATCAAATACTTGATGGACGTCCGACTTGAGCTCAAAGGCTCTGATATCAAGGAGTTTGATAGCACGGCAAGATTTGTTGACGGGTACAGCATCGAGCTCTTTCCATGATCCTAATGGCAGAGTTAACAACTGGCTCAGCCACTTCCTAGCAACAGTGTAACTCACGTTCGAGAAGATGTAGAGCATCGAGAATACGGCGTTCGTCCCGGGCTTGCTCAACTTGGTCGAGTATTTGGTTAACCGCCTTGATTCCCTTCAAAGCGTTTCTCAGCTGTGTGTTGTAGTCCAACTCGCGGGCAAGAAAAGCAGCTCTTGCTTCGGCTTCCTCAATGGCCTTCCCTGACGCCTGTGGTGCTTCCGACTGTTTCAGGATATTGTTCGCTAGAGCCTTTGACCGAATAATGTCATCTTGGACCGATTGGGCGTTCGTTTTCCATGTTTGGACATCGTCGGCGGTTTCTTCGTTGATGGTGTGTATCTCGGCCTACAAACAAGCGCAAAGCCTCAGCAACGGGTTTACAGGCGTGGCTCGAGAAGTGACGGTTGGTACCTGGAGCTTGGCCTTTGCACTGGCGAGTGCTTCAATGGCTGCTGGGAGCGCATCTGAGTCTACCGTTAAGGAGGATACCGACTCTTCAGGAAATGCTCCCTCGACAGAGAAGTCTACAAGGGCCTGAGCAATCTGCCCAGCCGGCGAGATTGGCGTCGCGACGGCCATGCTGGCCTGATATGTTGTTTGTTTAGGCGTGGATATGTGGTTCGAGGTTGGAATTGCAACTCGAGAGGCAGCGGAGCTGAGTCCGGTCGACTGCCTAGAAGTTTCGTGGTGTCATATGCGGACTAGATAGGTACTGCTGCTGAGGTGTCGCAGTTGTCGCGGACTTTGTTGGTTGGTGTTGACAAGCAAGTTGCGGCCAGCTTGGCTGTCGATAAGTTGAATCAATGGATGGCATTGATGACACCCGCTGACAGCACCCCCTGTACGTTACTGCCAAGACTTGTTTTAGGGGAGATCATGTGGGGCGTGCTTGATGCGGCACCAATCGGGGCCGGGCTGGCCGTCAAGGGACCTGAGAGCTTCCTCCGGCCGCTGGGACGGAAGGCGAGAGCTGACGGGAGCTTCGGGCAGCTACCGCTATGAGGTTCCAGTGCTGGTTGTCCACGGCGCCGTGTAACTACAGTTGGAGTTAGCGCCGGATGCCCCTCAGTTTCTGTTGTCGTTGAGGTCGTGGCAACCTGAACCGGGCAGAAGTTCTTATAAACTTCCATCTCTGTTTCATAAACCTCCATCCTGAAGGAGCTAACTACTGATCGTCCTATCTACCTATATCAACTATTCCAGTTCACGCATGTGAACTTGGAGTAGGTACGCTGACGGGAGGTGAGTTTCAATGTGTATTTCCATTGGTGCCTTACCTCTACCGGAGCTTTTCCCACGGGGTCCTTCTGCCTCTGTGCTCCTCCGCCCCTCATTCCTTCCTGCTCATCACCAGAGGAACCCGCATCCAGGCCAGTCTCAAGGAGGGGCAAGCTTTCTTTTGGTGGACTTCCTTTCCTGTCAACAACACGGACCGCAATCTGATAACTTTTCCTTTTCTACTATACAAAAAGGTCCATCATCCTGCGTCAACAATTCATACGTCGACTCCAGGCTGCCCAACCGGCATTATCCAGAACAGCCACGCCTTTCTGGTCTTACTCGATCTGCAACACATTCAAGGCAGTCTGGCAAACATCTCCATTCAGACAGTTGCACCGGTAAGAGAGTCCAGTCTTCAGTTGTCAGCAGCCAGTCTCGAATCGCGGAATGTACCTACAAACCAATATCTTGCCAGCCTTCCTCCATTTCCTCTCAAAAACCCTTTTCGATTCTCCCTTCCTCAAGAATCCTGTTCTGTTTCATCATACATCCCTCCTGCCCCAAGGACTTATGGCAAGATGCTATCCTTCACACGCTCAGTCATGCTCTTTGGGGCTTTAGCAGCGGGGAGTGTAGTTGCACACACAGCCAACTCACGGGTTAACCATGGTGCCTTCTGTGATATTCCCACCTTGATCCTTCCATACAACTCCTGGTACCTCCTCCCTTTTCATCATGGTCGAGTATGAGGAGAAGGGAGACTCAGCTATATAAACCCCGCAAACGCCGTGGGGATCCCCAAGCTGTTACTTTTCAAGAGTCTATCGAACAGTAGCATTATCACTTGCAAACATGGCATCATCTTGGAGACTGACAGTGGCATTTCTACTGTTATGGTTCATCTCTCATTGCTCATGGGCTAATCCTTTTCCCAGTAATATCCAGGGTTCTTTGCCAACAATCAGCAGCAACATGTCGACAGCACCAAGGTTCCGCAAGGTGCAGACCTTCGAGACCGACTATGCCCCGACGACAATCACCCAGTATGTCTCAGAACGTACTGGCATGCAGGTCATTGTAGCGGATCGCAAGGGTCCCAAAATCCACGGCTACTTCACCCTCGCTACCGAAATCTTTGATGACTCCGGTGCCCCTCACACTCTCGAGCATCTGGTCTTCATGGGCTCCAAGAACTACCAGTACAAGGGTCTCTTGGACAAGCTAGCTGGACGTGCCTACTCTGGTACAAATGCCTGGACTGCCGTGGATCATACCGCTTATACGCTTGAGACGGCTGGTTGGGACGGCTTCGCTCAGATTTTGCCCGTCTATCTTGAGCATGTCATTCTTCCTACTCTCACCGACGATGCGTGCGTGACCGAAGTCCACCATATCGACGGCGAGGGCAACGATGCGGGTGTGGTGTACTCCGAAATGCAGGCCATCCAATATTCGAGCCAGGAGCTTATGGACTTGAGGGCCCGCCGGTTGCTGTACCCCGAAAACGTTGGCTTTCGCTACGAAACGGGTGGTATGATGGATGCCCTCAGAGTCTTGACGCCAGACCGCATCCGCGAGTTCCACAAGGTCATGTATCAACCTCAAAACCTGGCTGTCATCATTGTCGGCGAGGCGAACCATGAGAATCTTTTGGACATCTTGGACAAGTTTGAGGAGAGCATCAAGGACGACATCCCCCCTCCTGACCCCAACTTCAAGCGCCCATTTGTCGACTCTCCTCAGCCGCCTCCCCTAAAGGAAACTGTTGTCGAGACGGTTGAGTTTCCTGAGGAGGATGAGTCCACTGGCGAGATCGCGGTGGCCTTCTTCGGCCCCAGCTGCGTTGATCAGGTGCAGGCCACAGCTCTCAACATCCTATTGACATACCTCTGCGGGTCCTCCGTGTCTGTAATCGAAAACACCATTGTTGAGAAGGAGGAATTGGCCAGCTCAGTTTCCTTCTGGTGGGATACTCGCCCCAACTCTGTTATCTGGTTTCAGCCAACCGGTGTCGCCACCGAGAAACTTGCCTTTGTCGAGGAGCGTTTGATCTCGCTTCTGAAGGAAGTCGCATCCAAGCCATTTGATATGGAGTACATGAAGGAGTGCATCTCGCGCGAGTTGCGTCAAATCAAGTACCACGCTGAAGGATCGGAGCAGTTCTACTCCAGCAATATCATCACCGATTACCTGTTTGGAAAGCGTGACGGCTCTACTCTGAGGGAACTTCAGACTTTGGGCGAGTACGATGTCATTGCTAGCTGGGAGGAGCAGCAATGGCGTGACTTCCTCAAGAAGTGGATTTCGGACGCACCTCATGTTTCCATCTTGGGTAAGCCCTCGAGGGAACTCGCCAAAAAGCTGAAGAAGACCGAAAAGGAGCGTCTCGCCAAGAGGAGGGCAGAGTTGGGAGAGGATGGCCTTAAGAAGCTGAAGGAGAAGGTTGAGAAGGCCAAGCAAAACAACGAGAAGCCTATCCCTTCGGAGGTGCTCGATCAGTGGCCGGTTCCCGACACATCCTCCATCCACTTCATCGAGTCGTTGACAGCAAGAAGCGGCAAGGCCCGCAGCCTCGGTACTACCGATAACTCGACTCAAAAGATCATTGACGGGGCACCCCAAGGTGCTAAGCCTCTGTTCATCCAGTTCGAGGACGTTCCTACCAACTTTGTACACCTTACTTTGCACGTTGGAACATCGGCGACGCCCAACAGGCTTAAGCCGCTCCTCCCTCTATTTGCTGACAACTTCTTCAACTCGCCAGTCATGCGCGATGGCAAACGTATGGAGTTTGAGGATGTTGTTAAGCAACTCGAAAAGGATACGATTAGCTACCACCTGAACAGTGCTTCGCGCATTGGCGATAACGAAGGCATGGCTCTGCAGTTCCAGGTGGATCTCGACAAGTACACGACCATGATTAGTTGGCTTCGCACACTGATGTTTGACATCGTGTTCGATCCCGTCCGTCTTAAGGCCGCTGTCGTCAAGGCTCTTGCCGATATTCCGGAGGCGAAGAGAGACGGCAGAGTCATGTCTCGCGAAGTTGATCAATCTATCCATCTGCTGCCCGAGTCCTACTCTGTCGCTAAGCGGACCCTCGTCAAGGCGGTTTACTACCGTCGCCTGAAGAAGCTTCTCGAGAAGGAACCCGAGACCGTCGTTTCCTGGTTCGAGGAACTCCGCAAGAGTCTCTTCACCTTCGAGAACCTTCGTGTCCTCGTCACCGCTCACGTTGAGAAGCTCCCCAACCCCATTGCGGCCTGGGACAGCTTCACCGAGATCCCCGATCTCGACACCTCCAAGGATCTCCTGCCTGTTGTCCGCCCGCATACGATGCTGAGTGACGAGGGCAAGGCCCCCGGTTCCTTCGGTAGCGTCATTATCCCAATGACCACGCTCGAGTCCTCCTACAGTGTCAGCACCGCCAGTGGCATCAAGTCGTACTCGGATCCTCGCTTGCCCGCCTACCTTGTCGCTGTCTCCTATCTCGAGACCACCGAGGGTCCCTTGTGGAACGCCGTCCGCGGCAACGGTCTCGCCTACGGCGTTCACTTTGGCCGCGAGTCCGACTCGGGCTATATCCAGTTCCACGTGTACCGGTCACCCGACGCCACCAAGGCCATCGAGGCCAGCAGGAACACGGTGGCTAAGATTGCTTCCGGCGAGGAACCGTTGGACAAGCACTTGGTTGAGGGCGCCATCAGCGGTCTCGTGCTAGCTGTCGCGGACGAGCAGGCTACCATGACGGCGGCGGCGCAGCAGAACTTTGTCAGCAACGTCATCCGCGGCCAGGAACCTGGTTGGAACAAGAAGCTTTTGGCGCGCATCCGCGAGGTGACGGGCGATCAGATTCGTGAGGCTCTGAGTGAGATTGTCTTGCCTGTCTTTGAGCCGGGCAAGAGTAACGTTGTGATTACTTGTGCTCCTGCTCTTGAGGAGGTGAGTTTGCCCCTGATCTCATGTAATTCCATCATGCGAGACACTAACGGTTATACTTTACAGAGCATGGTCAAGAACCTTGAGGCCATTGGCTACAAGACTCAAGTCCAACCTCTTACGCACTTCTACGATGACTACGGCTTGAAGGCCGACGAGGACGAGGAGGAAGAAGAGGAGGAGGACGATGAGGATGATGACCACCATCACCACCATCACGGCTGCGGAAGCGAGTGCGAGAGCGAGGGCGAGTGCGGAAGCGACTGTGACTCGGATGAAGAGATGTCGGACTAAGTGTCTTGATCTATGTCATCCAGTAGGCTAGACTTGCATCTTGTCCTCCGGATATAGAACTGTATTTTACTAGAAGCATTGAACCTTGTCAGAAGAATTACCAAGTATGGACACTTGGGACAAAGCGTACTACATATATCGATACTTCATCTTCACTTCTCTATTCAGTTCTCTCTTCCCTTAGCTCTTCAATCGTCATTTTCCTTCTCTCTTCGTTTTTCTCCTCACTTGTCTCCCCATTTCTTCCTTTTTACATCACCTATCTCAGGGAGTGTAGCATAATCGAGTATGATCATTAGGATATAGGCCGGCCGTCCTGTGGAGAAGCCGACAGTCTCGAAACAAATTTCATGGTGAAACTTCCCAATGCCACCAACCAACGTCGATCGCATGTTCTTTCTATTTACCGATCTACTTTATGATATATAAGATATATTAGTTTCAGGTCATCATTCCGTCGTTATATATATATAGTATGTACCCCTTCCCCTCTCCTTCTCATCTATATCGCTCACAACTTCTTTTCTAACACAAAAGTGAAGTGTTGAAAGTATATGCGCCGCTTTCCTCTTCTTGTTCTTTCTATATCCCCGGTCCTTCCTGCCGTTCCAGTCTCATTTATCGTCGTCAAACATCTTGTTTGTGATATTCTATCCCATCATTGAAAATGCACATTCAGGCAACCCACCGCATCATATGGTCAATCATGCCTCAACACTTCCCACAGTCCCCGTCCCATCCCCACCGCCCCCTTCCGCCTGCGCCAACAACCTCTTCCGCCAATTATTACACACCTCCTCGAACCCACCCACCACCTCACCACAGACGTGTGCGCACTCGCGATTCCGCAACCTCTCGCTCCAGTTGCCCCTGTTCAGCCATCGCTCGCCCTGTTCCCTCAATTCTTCCTCGCGCTTGAGCTCCGCTACAAGCTCGCGCGCGCTCTTCAGCCTTCTTGTTGCTGTCGTCGTAGTTTGTCTAGACATGTGCAGCGTATCGGACAGGTAGTTGAGTGTTTGGACTAGGTCCGTGGTGATGGTATGTAGCGAGGCGAGCTGGGCGAACGCGGCCGTTGAGGGTCGCGGCATGCTCGAGCCGAGGCTGACCAGCATGGGTAGGAGTTCGTCAATCGCCTCGGCATCTGGCGCGGGCGAGAGCGGGGAGAGCAACGGGAAGGTGAGCGAGTGTAGTTGTCGGGTTTGGTGAGTTAGGTGGGTTGTTAGGGCGGAGTGGGCGGTTATTAATCTGTTTGGAAAAGGGGTGTTAGTTATGGTGGCTCTTTGCTAGGTAAGGATAGAGAGGGTTGAGAACGAACCTTGTAGCACCACCTTCCACGCCGGCTTGTGAACCTAGATCGCGCAGGCCCTCGGTCACTCGCTGAAATGCCCCGTCGGCTGTTGAGCCATTGTTTTCCGTGCCTCTTCGTGCAAGCGACTCGACTTCGGCCATCTTCTCCACCAATCTGGGTGACAATCCGGAGGTTTCTAGGTCTGACTCAGAACCGTATTCGCTACCGTCGTACTCACTCACCTTTCGGCGGTGGTGGTGGTGGTGACCCCTTCCGTTCGGTGAGAGTTGTGATTTTAGACTTGCGCGCTGGCGACTCCGGGGACTCGCCATGTCGACACCGCTGTCCCGTACACCTCCCCCATCCTTCGGCATGGGCGTCGGGAGCAGGTCCTCTTCTTCGCCCGCAAAATCGTTGGGTACTTCTTCGCCTTCTTGACCCTCGAAGTAGTCGTCTTCGCCGTCTGAAAAGGCATCGGCTAGCTCGTCCGCTAGGTTGCCCAGCCCACCGCCGTTGTCCATGCCTCCGTTCCCAAACATGCCAATGTCCATCGCGGGACCCACCGAGGAGTTGAAGCTGTTTCGCGAGGGCGTTAAAGGATCGTTGAACGAAGACTTGTGTGAAAGAGCGCGACCCTCTTGCGGGGAGTAGGACGCTGCCGAATCTCGGAGGTTCTCCAAAGAGGGGTACGGCGAGTGCCGTGGTGTTTGTGGTGAGGACGGCATCATGGTGGGTGAGTGTTGTAATCTGTTGGAGTATCCGAGAGCAATGTTTCCTCAGGAATTCTCTTTCCCCGCGGTTGACGAGCAAGGCGAGAAGTGTATCAGGAAAGACGAGCGGCTGGTGTCTGCTTAAAGCGGTGCGCGGCGCACGTTGTGATTGTTCGCGGATTGGGGATGCCCTCGTGAAGCGAGCCAATGAAGCGTAGTGTCCGGACGCGGGAAAATTAGTATGATTAAGGTAGATGGCTAGGAGAGGTCGGACGTATGAGACAAAAGTTCGTGAGGCGGTAGGTAGAGGGGCAGGCGCAGGTCGGTTGGTGGTGTTGAGAGGTGCAGTTGTTGGGCGGTCGGTCGGGTCTCGGTCGGTGAGAGGGGTCTGTTCGGGCTGTACTTGGGACTTTCGTGAATGCGTCGGAATCCCTTTTGTTGTCTCCAAACGTCCAGGAACAAAGCAGCTTGGCTAGAGAGACGTAAGAAGACAATTCTTGGTCTGGCCTGGAGAGTGATGAAGTGTTGAAGTGGATAAGGTGGATGGGGACTTGGAAGGATAGCGCGAGCGGTGATTCGTAGTCGTGGCCAAGGGCATTGGGCAATGTCTAGGAGTAGCTGCGAGCCTGCGAGTGATGTGACAGCGGTTCTGAGGTGGTGCAGAGTGATGGTCCTGGAATTTCGTCTTGGAGGATTTCAACAGTTTGACCATCAAGCCTGGACTTGTCAGGGGCAAGCGACTACGGACGGGGGTACCGAGAAGGAAACATCCATCCATGGACCATGGAACAAGACGGGAAGGCGGAACTTGAAGGGTCCCATACTGCGGGCTCATGCCAGGGGCCACTGAATCGCTGGCGGGCAGATGGCTTCGCTCGGTTCCAGGAGCCTGTGCCACCTCAGGTACCGTCTGCCCCGCATTGACAACAAGGTTGTCTGGCACGCGTGGGGCACTTCTGCCCCTGGAGGTCCAAGCAGTTGGGCAGCTATCAACGTCAAAGCACAAAGCACTAATAGCTTGTAGTGTACTTTCAGCCAAAGTTTGTTAAGAGCACTAAACAACCATCTTTGTTGCTTTGTTCATCCAGTTCAAATATCTTCAACTCAAAATATCACCACAACATCGAAACGAAAGAAGTCCCCGAGACACTCAAAAAATGGCCAACTTCCGCCAATTCCGTCCAGATGACTTGAACAAGTTCTCAAAGTGCAACCTCGACCCTTTCACAGAAACATACGAGCTTGGGTTTTATTTGCAGTACCATGCAAAGTGGCCTTCGCTCTTCCAGGTCGCCGAGGATCAGCATGGCAACATAATTGGATATAGTAAGCACTCAGTATCATGTCGTATTGAGCTTGTCATATTCTCACACCCAAAACAGTCATGGGCAAACTTGAATCCTCGCCAGACTACTACAAGTTCTCAGAGCACTACCTCCCATGGCACGCCCATATCACCGCAGTCACCGTAGCGCCCGAGGCCCGTCGTCTGGGCATTGGCAAAATGCTGACGGAGCAGCTTGAGGCCGCTGCCGATGCCAACGACGCCTGGTTTGTCGATCTGTTTGTGAGGAGTACCAACCACAAGGCCATTCAGTTTTACAAGAGCATGGGCTACAGCATCTTCCGCACCGTCAAGGACTACTACGGCGACCACTCGAGCGACCCCACCAAGTCATCGAGGATCCTACGACATGCGCAAGCCCATGAAGAGAGACGTCAAGAAGGAGCACGTTCGGGAAAATGGCGAGAAGTTCGAGGTGGACCCGAGTGATGTGTGGTGAGGAGAGTCTTGAGGGAAAGAAGACATCGTTATTCCACTCATCTCTACCGGGTGCGATTCAGATTGCCTGCGACTCATGAAGTGCTGCCTACATATCCACCGAGACAGAAGCGACCGATCGCTGAGGAGTCGAAGATGCTGGAGTAAATCCAACTTCTTCGAGCCAAGCTTGGGAAATGCGTAGTAACGGGACCTGGAGGTGACGTTTCAACAGCCACTGGGCCTCGTTATCTCTTTGGCCATTTGAACATTCGGCAACAGTTCGATTGGCTGCTTCGCTTGGGCTCGCCATATGTCCTATAACGTGGAAACGTGGTAGGATGGTAAGACGATTTACTCTCATCATGATACCGACGTGAGTTCCTCTGTCAAAATTCACCAACGATCAAGATCGGGATGACCAATCAATACCTCTTTGAACCGTTCCAGTCGTCACTCGAGTATTTGGAAGCTGGCGCGCTTTGTCGGCCAGTGTGTTATGGGCATTGTCATATTACTGGTGTAAAGAGAGATCATCGTTAAGCAGGAGTTTAAATGACATGGAGGCTATAACGAGATGACTAGAATTTAGAGTCGTCTATATCTCTGGTTAAGAACTCGTTGAAGCTCGGTGATAGCTGGAATACAATGGTCCAATTAACTCACCTCCATCTCAGGATGTCTCTCCGAATCCTTGTAAGCACATCGAGATATTTTCACATTCGTTCGTTCGGTTTGGAGATAACACCTAGCAAAACAGCAGTCAAAAGAAAAGGACAAACAGAGATTACATTGTTGAGAAATGTCACAAATCAATGAAGGTCGTAATTAAGTTTGCGTTCGGATGACTTCAACCCACAGGTTGAGCTTTGGATGAGTATGTGTTGGAGGTTGTCTATCTTTAGTTCTAGCCACAACACTCAGTAATCTCTGGGCGGCAATTTCCTGGATCCCACTTCCATCTTAAGACATCACAGTTTACCAGTATACCCTCTATTGCCCTGACAGCTCTCAAGTGTCCTCGTTAGACATTGGCTTGCCACGGCATCACAAGCTTTGTGACCGGGGCCACAACAAATATGGGAGGCAATCCGACCGTTCGTCGATAACCTCGGATGCCTAAGGGTGTCCCTCTTACATCCAACATAAAACAGTACGACATCGCTACTGCTGTGGCGATGGCTACCAGCTTGATTGAAAGCGACCATTAGGGCACTGCACGTCAGAAGGTTGTAGCTTCCTTGGTCTGGCTCGAGGACAACCTATGCATAAAAAGATGATCAGCAGGAAAGTTGCAAAAGCAAAAAAAAAAAAGAAAATGGACTTACAGCTGGTAAGAATCGAACGCGCAGCGTGCACGGAAGCCGGGGGCAGAGGGGAAGGGAAGGGGAAGGGGCCGACAACCGTGAAACTTATACATATACCCAACGGGAAGGAGCTTCGCTGCGGGCTATGCAGTCGGGCGTTCTGGGCGAGGGGCCAAGTTGAATTGGAAGAGTTGGGATGGAGGGTGCGCGGGAAGGAGAAATGGAAGGTGCCAAACACGACTTGCGATGAGGACCCGAGCGGTAAATTATCGGACTAGACCGAGCATAGTATACATTCTCAACCCTCCTCTACTTTCGCCTCATCACTTATAGCTTGCTCCTGCCCCCATTCAGATACGCTTGTCCCAGCTTCAACTGCTCAACCGCGTCCTGCACCATCTCCTCGACGATCTCCCCAGCCGGCTGCACCTTCTTCACCAACCCAGCCACCTGGCCCATCAGATGCGGCGGGTCAATCTCGTTTCCCTGATCCATATCCCACTCGATGGGCACGATTCCCTTGCCCGTCAGCTCCGCGATCTTCTGCGGCTGCGCGTGCCACTTGGCGATATACTCGTTCGTCTTCATCCTTAGCGGCCTGCCACTGAGCACCAGCGTCCGCTCGGTACCCTGAAACCCGCACGTCACCACTGCGTCCTTGTGCTGCTCGCTGCAGCTCGCCTCCTTGCTAGCCACGAACCTCGTGCCGACCCAGACGCCCACCGCCCCCTGCATCAAACTACTCGCCAGCCCTCTGCCGTCCGCGATACCACCGGCCGCCACCACCAGCGCCGGGTGATCAGTGGTCCCCAATAACTTGTTCAGCATCGCGGGCTTGAACGTCCTCGCCACGTCCACCACACTCGGGATCAACACGCTGTTAGCCACATCACCCGTGTGCCCACCGCCTTCGCCTCCCTGGGCGCACACCATGTCAACACCTAATTCCAGCGCCTTGACGGCGTGCTTGGGGTGGCCGACCATGTTCATGACTAAGATGCCGTTGGCGTGAAGCTTGTCGATGATGCGCTTGGGCGGCACGCCCACGGCCGACACGAACAGCCTAGCGCCGCTCTCGATGGTGATGTCGATCAGCTCGTCCAGCTTGCCGCCTGGTGTAGTCGTGGTTGGCTTGCGGGCGGAGCCGCCGATCTGCGGGAGCGCCAGGTCGACGCCGAAGGGCAGGTCCGGGGAAGTGAAGTTGGCTTTCATCTCGGCGATGATGGAGCGCAGCTGGTCGGGCGTGTACATGAAGCCGCCGATGACGCCGAGGCCGCCGGCGTTGGAAACGGCCGCGGCGAGGGGACCGCCGGAGACGCGGGCCATGCCGGCGAGGATGATGGGGTGCTTGATCCCGAGGAGAGTGGTGAGGGGGGTTGTGATTGGCCCTGTGGCCGCGGTGGTTGATGGTGCCATGGTTAATTTGTGAGTTCGAGAATAGTCGATGTGTAAGTGATTAGATATATGCGAACGGATATGGGTAAGGAGAGGTAAGATCGTGAGTGTTGTCCGTCATACAGTAGCTGGTAAGGTGTCATACAAAAGCAGTTCACTCGGAGAGAAAGTACACGTAAGGGAAGGAAGCTCAACAAAGACAAAGAGGAGGGAGAGAGCTTGATATCAACACAGCTGTCAGGTCGATCTAAGACGTTCTTGTTCAGCTACAAAGGATATCAGTTAACTCCGGGCGCGAAGAATTGGGATGAACAGCAAGATCTGGCATGAACCTCCACTGACGTCTCTCAATAACGTCGCATCGTGGTTCCCGTGGAGGAATGATGGAGTCCGGGGTAGACGGGGGTAGGTCTTGGGATGCGGGGAAGCCGAGGCACCCTTTGCCAATCCGCACCCCTGGATTGTGAATGGTTGACATGCTGACATGTTCATCATTGCACTTCTTTGAACTCCAGGCCCCGCGTTTGAAAGCGTCGCCACAGGCTTTCAGATGCTAAAGATGCCGATGAACCCGCCCATTATTCTCATCAAAACTTCTTGACACTTTGTCACTTGGATCTCGACGGAGAGTTCTCTCATAACCAGGCAGCTGCTCAAGGCCGATCCAGGTAGCTTGTCTACGATGATCGCCTTAGCTAGAGTTCTCATTCAGTAGGACAACAACACAGAAGCTTCCAAGGCGAAACCAAAACTCGGACGAAGCTTTATTATAACCTCATAGCCGAGTACTCCAAAAGGACCCCGACTCCGGCCTATAGATTGCTGTGAACGGTTCCCTCTTTCGCGTCTCTTAACTTAGGTGTTTAGAACACCCTCATGTTTCTATCAGCTCCGCCTGAACCAAAACTCCATCTTTCCATCAAACCACCATTATAGTCATATGGGGACCCTGTACCGCAAACTCCTTCGTTGTTTTTAGTTCATAATACGTCGTTATTGTAACCTCTATCCCGTTATAAAGCGCCCCAGAGTTCGTGTGTGCCGGACTCAGATTATTGGGCTTGGCCTTTCATCCAAAATGAGGCAGCCTTGCCGGTATGAACTCGAGCGATGTGTTATCCCCTTCTAGTTTTGCCGTCGTGCTCTCCTTCACGCCTCCATTATGGCTCGACTTGGCCACAATAGCGTCGTTGCTCTTGACCTCGGTAAAAGCTGGGGGTTTCGTCTCCCTCACTTCCTCCTCAGGGCTCTCGCTTGTGTCATCGCTTTGTGTTCTGTTCATGTGCTGTGTCGGTTCGTCGGGAGTCAATCCGTGGCTATCTTCTGTTTGCTTTGGTTTCAGCTCCGGTTCTGGTTCCGGCTTCGGTCCTGGCTCTGGCTTGGAAGAAGCCTTCTCTTGTTTGCGCAATCCACGCTGTGCGGCCAGGCGAGACGCGGCCTGTCTCTTGCGTTCAATCTCCTCGTACTCTTCCCTCTCGGCCTGTTCTTCCTCTCGCTGCAAATCCTCGAGCGATGGAGTGGGCAGGGCATCCTCTGAACTCGAAGTTGGGAAAATAGTGGTGTCATCGATATGGTAGGCCGAATAGGTTGACGCTATCGTAGTCCTGGACACTGATCGCGATATGCCTGACTCCCTGTCTCCATTCGCTGGCCGTTTCCCCTTGGTGCTTCTCGTCCTGTTGCTGCTTCCGTCGTCCACGCGGCCAAGGGCAACTGCAAATTCGTCGTCTAACGGTACCGCATCCTCATCGCCCTCTCCATCACTGGGAAAAATGTCGTTTCTAGATCGATACGAACTCGATGATGTGCCCTCTGATTCGCCAGTATTACTGCGCGGCCTCAACTGCGGCGATTCCCTGACGTGTTCTGCGTGGATCCGAGTATGTTCATCCTCCTCGGAGCTTGTCCCCAACAGCGGCTCATTCTCATCTCTTTGCCGGCGTCCTCCCTGTTGTTGTTGTTGTCCAGGCACAAGCGTACCGGGGTGATCTCGCAAGTTCGCCGCCGAAGGTTTGTACCTCAGTGTACCACCGAAAAAGGGCAGCCGCAAAAACCCCAGCGGTGCCGTCCTCGGAATGACAGTCGGATCGTCTTCGGGCAGCGAAGGCTTCCTCCTCGGTCCTCCTCTTGTCCCATAGCTCATCCCTCTCTTTCGCCTCGGCTGATCCACCACGTCTCCCGTGCCACCGGCCGCGTGTCTCCGATCGTTTCCTGTCCCCGCCAGTAAGCGATCCCAGTCCTCGCCGCCCCAGCCGCTGAAAAGCCCTCCTCCCCCTCCCCCTCCACCGCCACTGCTGGCGGGCCCTTGATCCACAGCAAAATCATCGTCCCAGTCGTCGTAAAAGTCAAACATATACTCGGCCCTTGTCCGGTGGGCTCCACGGTCTCGCTCGCGCGCGCGTCGGGCACGCTCTTCACGGTCCCCGAGACATAGGCTCGTGCAGCTGTCGATGGAGTCGGCGAGAGATGAAAAGCAAGGGGTGATATATTGGTGCTGGAAGGTCCAGATGCCGGCGGCGGCATTCTCGGTTACCGCCTCGGCGTTGTGGGAGATCTGGTTCCAGCGCTGCCGTAGACGGGGATCTTGGATGAATGCCATCGTGCACAGTACGTGTGGATGTGCTCGATCGCCCAGGACAGACCGTAGCTGTGTTGTGTAAAAGGATGAAAGTCAATTTTCGGTTCCGTGTTTAATATGTTATTGGGTGCCGAAGACGGAAGCTAAGGTCGCAATCAGATGCGCGGTCCGCGGCCCGCACCTAAACTGGGCTGGGAGATGATAAAGAGTCTGAGAGTTTAAAGAGACGGTATCTTGTAGGTCGATTCATCCGAGGAGACGGTTCAATGGGTGGACGAATTGAAATGTCAAATCTTGCTGGAATGTGTATTCGTCTGTATGGGGTCCGGCGACTGGATTTGTAAAGTCAATCTGTCGCGTTCGGCACAGCCCGCTAGCGTAAGAGGGCAATAACAGAAAGGTTGGTGTCTTCGTCAACAATCCGCCTTTTGCGAGTTCTTGGAGACGCCTGTGCTGGTAAACTAATAAGTGAATAGAGAGTTGAAGTAGGTATTCAGGATCACAAGCAATCCCAATGTTTCAGGTCTTTCCGTGCTATTGCCGCCTTTTGGATGGTGGTTGTGCTATCCCATGTTCGGCCTTTTAGCCCGTATCAAATTGGTGTGCGTATGATGCAGCTGAACTCGCCGGGTAGAAACAACCTCGACCAGATACCGGTACGGTAAATTCCGCAATCAGTCGGGGGGTAAACTGGGAGCCTGGTCCGTTGTCGTCGGCAAGCGCATGTCTTGCAGGAACGTCGAGGATAGACAGAAATGAGTGAGAGATGGTTGGTGTACGGAGAAATTCCCCAAAGTCCATCCTTTTGTTGCAAGCAGAAAGTCTGACACTTCTATTTCAGTAGTGGAAACTGTTAGGGCGGCATCCAGGGTTCCAGCCTTCCAACACTGTAAGTTGCAGCCGTACTCTAACATGGAAACAAATGCCCAGGGGAAAGTGGGGCGCTACTGCCGATAGGTATGCGGGGTTGGTGAAGCCAAGTGGACGGGAATGGTCCGTACGGAAACCGATATTGATTGGCACACAGGCACGTTCATCGGACTGCAACAGCTCAAGTATCCATGAAATCATCGAAGCTCAATTTTGGGCCATCAAGTACCGCGACTCTCCCGTAACAGCTGTATTTCTTCATTGGTGAATACTACGCAAATACGGTAATGTTGTTACGTATTCATGGCAGTCGATACGTCCTGGATGAACTGATAGGTTGAGATAGTCCACTAAGTATATCGACAGCCAAGTCGTAACCTCAATGTTTGCCTACATACCCTTTGACCCGAGCCGTTCTCGAGGGACCGACATCTAGCAAAGTTGATAGGCGCCATTAGCGGTAAGGGCGGCCTTGGTGGCAACGGGGGCAGGAGCGGGAGCAGGAGGGGGCGGCCGCTCGGGCCCGTACGGCTGGGGTTGATGATGCTGCTGCATCTGCTGCTCATCCTCAGTTTCATCGTCGTACTCATCACCCTCGTCACTCACTTCCTCATCTCCTTCTTCGTCGTACTCGTCTTCGTACTCGCTCTCGTCCCCCTCAAGCTCTCCTTCACCTTCCGCATAGCCCGTTTCAACCGCGCCAGCCAGCCCTTGCGGGATCCCCCGGCCCTGCTGCTGCATCTGTTTAATGATGCCATTCAGCTTCTCGCACTTTTTCTTGAGGTCCTCGATCTCGGCCAAGTACTTGTTCCGCTCCTCCGCCATCTTGAGGATGTTGCCATTCACCTGCTCGTGCTTTCTCTTGAGGTTCTCGTTTTCCCTCTCGAGGCGTTTCGTCTTCTTAGACATGTCCTCCATTTCCTTGCGGAATGTAAGAAACAAGTCGTTGCTATTGTTCAACGTGTCCTCAACCTAGCCAAGCTGTCAGCCTTCTTCATCCCCACTCCATCTTGGTGCCATCATCGGCTAGTACGGACCTGCTTGAACTTGTCCACGTAGACATTGAGTTGTTGTCTCAGCTCCGTCTCCGTCTTTGAGAAGGTCTGCACCTGGGCGTTCAGCTGCCTTGATCGCGCCAATTCGGCCTCGTAGTTCTTCTTTTCACGCTCGAACCTAGCGAGGTTGTATTGGACTTCGAGCTCCTTGGTCCGCATTTGCGCATGGAAGTGGAGTTCCCTCAGCTCGTACTGTTCAATCAGAGACTTGAACCGCTGGCGAAAGCTGGTGACAGTGAGCAAGTGTGACTTGAGAACCAAACAAGAGATAGGGCCGTTACTGACAATTCATCCATTTCCATGTCCACTACTTGCTTGCGCGGATTGTCCTTTTCTTCCTGATAGTCGTCCATTCGACGAAGAAGAGCAGAGTACCTCTCATCCCACGAGTTCTGACTTCGAACCTGCGTATCCGATAATGTCTTGTTCTCGTTCTAGGTACAAGAGTTTGTCAGTGCCCTGAACGCTACTTTACCACACCTGTGATTCCATACCTTGAGCTTGTTATTCTCTTTTTGCAGCTCACGGCAGAGCTTCTCAAGCTTCTCCTTCAGCGATGTTGTCTTGTTGAGTTCATTGCGGCTGTTGTCCTTGTCCTTCTGTAGCTGGTCACCTCGTTTCTTGTTTTTGATGCTCTCGCGTTCGAGCCTTTTCATCTCAGCCAGCAAGTCCGCACATCGTTTGGTCAAATGATCGATCTTTTGGAGGTCGTTCATCCGCGAGGTCTGGCTGTGTAGCTCCCTGCTAGCTTTCTTAACCTCTCGTTCTGCGCATGGCTTGCTGTCAGCGCCTTCTCTTTCATCCGATGTCCAAGAGAGCCCGTTTTGGAAAAGCCCCTCTATACTTTTCATCCCCTACGTCCCGATCGAGACAGGAGGGTGGTCTGAAGACATGCAGCAAAGGTTGACTGAGGAGGTTCGGTCAACGACTGTCGAGTGTTTCTGAGCCTTTCGCCCCCCCTTATCGATCCCAACACATCCGTCATTGCCCTCCAAGCACCCAGCAAGGAGTAAGGACAAACACGCACCTATTTCGGCCTCCTGGTCCTTTTCGCCAGCGGCATCTTGCTCAAGTTGTGTGATCCTGGCAGCAATAAGCTTGCTAGCCTCGTTCGGCTCGGGTGCCTTCTTCGGTTTGCCCTTTTTGCCCGCCATGTTTGCGGGGGGCGCAGGAGCCGGCCGGGTCTCATGGGCATGATTCGGGTGGCTATTCGTGACAGGAGGGGGGTCGACCGGATGGTTTGCGGATCCATTGCTCATGGGTGTCGCAGGTCGAGGGCCGGATGTCGCAGTGGCCGGAGGATTGGCGCTTGACATTGTCGAGGGACTGGCCTTGATGACGGAAACAGGCTTGTGGTCGGCAGTAACCACTCCGACTGGCAATGTCAACAGATTATAAGTTGCAAAAGGCTTGCGTGTGCACTACAGCGGTGCGTTTCTGCTAGCCTTGCCGCTTTGCCGTCGTCGTCAGTGTATAGTGATGTTGTGCGCGCACAATAGAGAAACTGTATGTGCTGTTGTATGGAAGTTGGTCGTTGCGTATTCGGGCGGCCGGGGCGGCGGCAGTCGTCGAGATGGCTGCGGAAGACTTTGATGTTTGGGAAAGGACGACCAGATCGCTATGGCGTCGGTTAATCTGACGGAGCGCGCGAATTGGATGACAGGTTCCGCTGCGTTTCAACAGGCAGGTACCTGCTCTCGGGCTTCGGGGGCCCAGCACGGACTATAAAACTGAAATCCAGTGCTCCCGCCTTCCTTTTCATGGTCGCTACTTCCCACTTCCCACACGTGAAGGTACTTGTTGGCTACTATGGATATTACCTGTACTGTATTGAGATTACATTGTGAAAGAGGAGGAATGTCTGGCAGTAAAAGGCAGGTACTCTTTGGCTGTTATCCACCTTTACTCCTGACTGTTTTATTAAGAACCAGATGATTGAAGCCCTCGAGGAGCCAAACCGCGTTTTCATCTTCATTTCTCTTTGGACCGTCGTGCATCCACCTCATATATGTACAATGAGCATTTGATAGCGTACTGACATGCTGCTCACAAACACTTCGCCTCACACTCGTCCGATGCCGGTTGCCGTTCTTACTGTTGACATTTAGAAAGCTCAACATTAAAGACACAAAGACCCCTTATCTTTGCCACACACATGATACTAGACTGTAGCAAAGAGCTGATATGCTCACTCAGGTGTATGAAGGCCCAGGAGCTTATAACCAGGCCTACATGACCTCTTGTCTAGAGGTACGTTTCTCTACCGTATAAACTCGAGAAATTGGACTTCGGGTAATCACGTTATAATTGTACGTGCGTACAAGCAGAGTTAAAGGTCTCGAGATGTCCGTCAGGCATGTAGTGTACATGCTTCTTTACTGCTTCTTTTCACCATTACTCTGCTTGTGCGTTGCTTACCCGAAGTCCAATCTCTCGAGTTTATACGGTACCTGTACATGTAAGTGTAAGAAGATGTCACTGGGGTTACGAGCAGATAGGTAAGTACTTCTTTGTCGTACCTGAAGAGCAACACAAAAGCGCTGACAAATCATAAGCTAAGAAGTACCTTGCTAACAGCCTTTTCCTCCGGGCATGGCTACTCATTGGTTCAAGATCAGCCTCAGCGTCGTCCGTCGTCCCCTCAGCCCCACTATTCCCGACCCTGCCGAGCACGGTTCAGTTCCAGCAGGTTTTCCACTTGATTCCCTCCGAGGGAAGCGGCGGGGTGCTGAGTGGCGACGGAGTCAGTCACCACCCCGGCCGCTCTGCCCACTGCCGCCCGTGGCAGGCAGGCCTTAGAGGTAGCTCCGTTCCAACTCGTGCCGTCAAACTGGACGCCTGAACTTGCACGCATCCATCAAGTATCATCACCATTATCGATCATCGCCCTTTCCAGTCGCCCTGCATAGTGCAACCTTAGAATCGGCCTCGGATTTCTGCCAGCACTCGGGTATTCTCTACTGCGGTCAGAACGATGCTGCGCAACGCGACCAAAGGTGCAGCGCGCCGCGCCGTCACCGAGCTCTCCCAGTACCCGAAACCCGGCGAGAAACTCCACGGCTTCACCCTTCTCCGGTCAAAGCATGTCCCAGAGCTGGAACTGACTGCTTTGCACTTGCAACACGACAAGACCGGAGCAGAGCATTTGCACATTGCCCGTGACGACAGCAACAATGTCTTCTCGATCGGCTTCAAGACGAACCCCCCAGACGACACCGGTGTCCCTCATATCCTGGAGCACACCACTCTGTGTGGCAGTCAAAAGTATGCGAACCCGGACGGCCGGCATTGCCTGGATCACTCGCGCTGACGTGGAATCTCATCCAGGTTTCCCATCCGAGACCCCTTTTTCAAGATGCTTCCGCGCACGCTTTCGAATTTCATGAACGCCTTTACAGCATCGGACCACACCTTCTACCCGTTCGCCACCACCAATGCTCAAGACTTCAAGAACCTCATGTCGGTCTACCTCGACGCAACTCTGCACCCTCTCTTGAATGAGACGGACTTCACACAGGAAGGATGGCGCATTGGGCCCGAGAACCCCCAGGCCCTTGTTGCGGCTGAGGGCAACGCAAAGCCCGAAGACAGGAAGCTTGTCTTCAAGGGTGTGGTGTATAACGAGATGAAGGGCCAGATGTCTGATGCCGCCTACCTCTTCTGGATCCGGTTCCAAGACCACATTTTCCCTGACATCAATAACTCTGGTGGTGACCCCCAGAAGATCACGGATTTGACATACGAACAGCTCAAGAAGTTCCATGCTGATCACTACCACCCGAGTAACTCCAAGGTCTTCACATACGGCGATATGCCGTTGGAGGATCACTTGAAGGAGATTGGTGCCCAGCTCGACGCTTTTGACAAGATCCGACCTGATGTGGCGAACCATAGCCCCATCGACCTTAGCAGTGGCCCTCGGGAAGTCAAGCTCTACGGGCCTATTGACCCTCTTGTTGACGCCAATAAGCAGTTCAAGACTTCCGTTTCGTGGGTTCTGGGTGAAACCAGCAACGTTGTGGAGTCCTTCTCGCTGGCGCTTATTTCTGCTCTGCTCATGGATGGTTATGGCTCGCCTCTCTACAAGGGACTGATTGAATCCGGACTAGGAACGGACTGGAGCCCCAACACAGGGTACGACAGTTCGGGCAAGCGCGGTGTCTTCTCCATTGGTCTGAGCGGTGTTCAGGAAGAAGATGTGCCCAAGGTCAAGGCCAAAGTGCAGGAGATTTTGCGCAGCATGCGGGACAAGGGCTTTGAGAGATCAAAGATTGATGGTTATCTCCATCAGCTTGAGCTCGGCCTTAAGCATAAGACTGCCAATTTTGGCATGTCTTTACTCCACCGCTTGAAGCCCAAGTGGTTTACCGGAGTAGATCCCTTTGACTCTCTTGCCTGGAATGACACGATTGCTGCTTTCGAGACTGAGCTTGCCAAGGGTGGTTATCTTGAGGGGTTGATTGATAAATATCTGGTCAACGACAACACTCTATCCTTCACGATGGCACCTTCGCCAACCTTCAGCCAGGAGCTTGCCCAAGAGGAGGAAACCCGCCTGAGCACCAAGATCTCGGAAGTCGTCAAAGCTGCTGGCAGCGAAGAGAAAGCCCGTGTTGCTCTTGAGGCGCGCGAACTCAAGTTGTTGGCCGAGCAAAGTAAGACCAACACCGAAGACCTTAGCTGCCTTCCTAGCGTGCATGTCAAGGATATTCCGCGCCAAAAGGACTCGGTTATCTTGAGACACGATAGCACATCAAGAGTCAAGACACAGTGGCGCGAGGCTCCGACCAACGGGTTGACTTACTTCCGCGCTATCAACCAGCTTGAGAACCTGCCGGATGAGCTCCGAAGCCTGATTCCCCTTTTCACTGATTCCATTATGCGTCTGGGTACCAAAGATATGTCCATGGAGCAGCTTGAGGATCTAATCAAGCTCAATACTGGAGGTGTCTCGGTCGGTTACCATTCGGCATCTCAGCCAAGTGACTTCACTCAGGCCACAGAAGGCTTGGTGTTCTCTGGTATGGCATTGGATCGCCATGTGCCAACGATGTTCGACCTCTTGCGCAAGCTGGTCGTAGAGACTGACTTTGACAGTCCTCAGGCGGCTCAACAGATTCGCCAGTTGTTGCAGGCATCGGCTGATGGCGTCGTAAACGATATTGCTTCGTCGGGACACGCGTATGCTCGGAGAGCCGCGGAAGCTGGCCTCACATGGGATTCCTTCCTCAAAGAGCAGGTCAGCGGTCTTTCGCAGGTAAAGCTCGTGACTAGTTTGGCAAGCCGGCCCGAGTCCGACTCGTTGGAGGATGTTATTGCAAAGCTCAAGCAAATCCAACAGTTCGCACTGGCTGGTAATCTTCGCACCGCCATTACCTGCGACAGTGGAAGTGTCTCTGAAAATGCCAAGGCGCTCTCGAACTTTGTTAACTCGCTGCCTTCGGAAGCGATGACTTTCCCGAGCCGGGGAGCCCCCAAGTTTACTCGTGATATCAAGGCGTTTTATCCCTTGCCCTATCAGGTTTACTACGGCGCCTTGGCTATCCCTACGGTTTCTTACACGTCTTCCGAGGGTGCCCCTCTCCAGATTCTCTCGCAGCTCCTGACCCACAAGCACTTGCATCACGAGATCCGTGAGAAGGGCGGTGCCTACGGTGGCGGATCTTACGCCCGCCCTCTTGATGGTATCTTTGGCTTCTACTCGTACCGCGACCCGAACCCCGTCAACACGCTCAAGATCATGCAGAATGCTGGTCAATGGGCGGTCGACAAGAAATGGACTGATCGGGATCTTGAGGATGCCAAGATCTCTGTCTTCCAGGGCGTTGACGCTCCCAAGGCTGTCAACGAAGAGGGCATGGCTCAGTTCCTCTATGGTATCACCGACGAGATGAAGCAGAAACGCCGCGAAGAACTCTTGGATGTTACCAAGGATCAGGTCCGGGAGGTGGCGCAGAAGTATGTTGTCAAGGCTCTTGACAACGCCTCTGAGCGCGTTGTATTCCTTGGCGAGAAGCGCGACTGGGTCGACAAGTCTTGGGCGGTCAACGAGATGGACATCAACGGTTCCGCCTAGAGCACTTCATCAACAGCTGAACATGGCCGATGTTGATGAGGTTGGCGGTCTTGTATTTGTAAAGTGATATGTTGAATGATACCCTCCTCCAATACAAAAGGCACAACGATGCAGTGCGGACCCGGTGGGCTGCAACGACACTCGGCTCCAGTCAGCGCTGCGATTTTCCGGCTGTATACTGATAAATGGGTTTTAGATTTTTGTTCCCTCACCGTCCTTTTTTTTTTTCCTCTTTTCTTC